ATACTGCAGCTTAACATTAGCAGAGGAGGTAGAAGATCGTTTTTGCTTGAAATTGGATCCCTGAGTACTCATTACACAAGATTAAACTGTAATGCTTACATTGAATTCATGACGTATCTTGTAAACCTGGATAGACAAATATTCCCCATATCAGCTGCACTTTGTGTGGAGCTGGAAATACCTATTTTTGAAAACTTACTTGTTTAAATGTCTTATAAATATTTCACAATGTGCAGGCGGTGAAAGAAAATACTTGGTCAAATTTGAGGTATTATAATCTAGTTAATCAACAATTATGGACATTTACAAAGCTGGCTTGGAGCTCTATTAAATTATGAACTACTCTACTAAGCTATAAACTAAAAGTGTGAAGGAACAATAGACCACATTAAAGCTAGAGTTAAAAAATATAAATAAGTCCAGAATTAAAGCCCTATTTTATAAACAAATAGGAAAAAAGTGAGTTTTTAGCTCTGAAATATATGTTGCAGTTTAGGCTTTCATTTTAAAGTCAAAATACATCATTTTAGTCCTGAAAATTATTTTTTTTTCAGTACTGGGGATTGAACCCAGGGCCTTCACACTGAACCATATCCCTGATCCCTTTTCATTTTTCATTTCAGAGTCTCACTGAATTTCTCAGGATGGGCTCAAACTTGCCATCCTCCTCCCTCAGCCTCTCAGAGCGCTAGGATTACAGGCATGTGCTGCCATGCCTGGTAAAGAGGATGTGTCTTTTTGAGTTAGGTCTGTGGACATCTGCAAATCAGGTAAAAATACAAAAGACAAGCATCCAAGAAAACTTTTTATAAAGCCTTTTCCTGGATTGCCAGAACTTTCTTTGGGGAATTTCCAGTTTTGACATGATTCTGGATATGTTATGTTTAAAAATATCTCTCGTATGAAAAATACAAGTGATTAAAAAGTGAGCAGAATTTCAGGAAGAGAACATCATACAAGGCCTCCATTAAATGAGAGTATGAGATGTGTAAGTTTTTTTTAGAATCAAGTTGTATTGCTACTCTGGCGTAGTGATACAGTTGGGTCGATTCTACATCTTCACTCTTTATTTGCTCTAGTCGCTATGCTCTGTTTTTAAAAAAGGATCCAATGTGAGCTCATTCTTCCACGAGCCTTTCAGTTGGAAGGAGCATGGCCCAGACTTGTGGCGATCCTCCTGCCCCAGCCTGCTGAGTGCTAGAGTTACAGGCATGGGCCACTGCACTGGGCAAATATGACCCATTTTATTTAAAAAACTTTTTTTAGTTTTTTGAGACAGGATCTCACTTTGTAGCTCAAACTGGCTCTGAACTTACTATGTAGCCCAACTGGTCTCAAGCTGTGGTGATAGTCCTGCCTCGGCCTCCCAAATCTGGGATCATAGGTGGGCGCTGCCACACCTGGCTGTGACCCATTTTTAAACAAATTATGTTGTACAAATTTATGTAGTAACTAAACTCAGGTAGGTTTTATTTTATTTATTTTTTTTAAATTTTATTTATTTGTGTGTGTGTGTGTGTGTGTGTGTGTGTGTGGCCAGTTCAGCCCACCAGGAGGCAGCACTGGCTGGCATGTGGTGCTGGGGGATTGAACCGCGGTCCCTGTCCTTTGCTAAGCTTGTTCTAAGTAGGTGCTTTAGACCACTGAGCCATCTCACCAGCCCCTCGGGTAGGTTTTAAAAAACAATTTGTGGGCTTTTTTGATACCAGGAATCAAACTCAGGACCTTGCACTTACCAATCTCTTGTGTCACTGAGCTATATTCCCAGCACAATATGTGTTTTAACTTGGCCATGGTGGCATACATCTGTAATCTCAGCACTCTGGGAGGCTGAGACGGGAATCCAAGCTCAAGCCTACCTAACTCTTTTCAAAAATGAATCAATTATTATTATTATTATTATTATTATTGAAGGTGGACTGTGGTTGCTCAGTATGAAGGCTTTGGGTACAATTACCACTACTATGAAATAAAGGAAGGGTAAGGGCACTTGGGAGGCAGAGGCAATAGGACCATCAAAAGTTCCAGGTCAGCCTGGGCTACATAGTGAGTTCAAGGCCAGTCTAAACTATATAGTGAAACCCTGTCTCCCCCGCAAAGGAAAATGATCATCTGGGAAGAATAATAGAATGAAATGAAAATAAAGGACCAGAATCCAAACATGATATGAAGTCAAAAATTGACTCTTTAAGAGCTAAGCTCCTTAGAGCAAGAGGACAGAAAGGAAGGTCCTCATCTTCTCGGTGTTTTGAAGGAGTCACAAGCACATCTAGGAGACGTTTTCACCTACCCAGGGAAGCTGGCAGTGGAGGGAATTAGCCGGATTCCAGCCAAGAATGGCACACACTGGGGGAGATGAGTGTGTGGGCGACAGGAGGCAGCAACAGGCACAAGTGAGACTGGCAAGAAATTAATTCCATTCTTTGGCCCTCCCCAAGAGTTCCTCATTTTAAAACTGAATTTCCCAATTTTTACTAGGTTTTTTTTTTTTTTTGGCAGTACCAGGGATTGAACTCAGACCCTTGTGCTTGCCAGGGAAGCACTTATTCCACTGAGCCATCTCCCTGGCCCAAATTTCCCAATTTTTGACTAATTTGAAAAGTACCCTTCTGGGTTTTGTTGATCCGGATAGTGCCGGAGCCAGCCCAAGCCTGCCGCATGAATGAGAACTTCCGCTGCACTCTCAGGACCCCTCCAGACCCAGCCCAAGCCCAGACCTGGAGAGTGTGTGGGAGAGCTTCTGCACTCCTCTGTGCCCCCTGGACTGCTCCAGACCCAGCCCAGGCCTGGCATACAGGCTGGGGTGAAACTCTGCAGCTGAAGTCCCTGCAGAGAGGCTAGGGGCCAGAACCACCCGGCTAATCCAGGAGTAGAACATCTTGCCAGGAGAACACAACAGGTTCACTTCCAAGGGCTGCAACAGGAAGAAGCTAGCACAGCAGCCAGACCCAAGCCAGGCACAACTGGATGAATTCCAACTTTGTATATCTGCACCCCAATTTCAGTAGGTGCTAAGGTTATAACACACCAAAGCTCTACACCAAAGGTCAGAGGACAGTGCTATACAAAATGACAATGAGAAGGAACAAAATGCAATCTCAGGCCCAGAGCCCACCCAGAACAAGTGCAGAGGACACTAACACAGAAGAAACTGGGAATCACACAGCTGAAATGTCTGAATCAATAGCAAATGAAGTAAAGAAACAACTGCAGAAAGGTATAGAGGAACTCAGATCAGAAATAACCTCTGTAGTAAAAGAATCAATAACTGCTTCTCAAGAAGACACTGATAAAAAAGTAGAGGAGATCCAGACAGTACCATGCCTAATATTACTTCATATTCTTCAAACTGATACACACTTAAAAATCTGGGCTGGCTCCTATGATCCTCCTGCCTCAGCCTCCCAGGGTGCTGGGTCCACCAACATGGGCCACCAAGCCTGGCTGAGGCCCCTTTCTAGTAGTGCCGCCTCCTTTGAAAACTGCTTTAAATATGATCTGCCAAGAATCAAAAGTTCAAATCTCACTAGCTATATAGCCTGTGGGAAGCAGTCTCAGAGACCTTCAGGAAATGGTGAGGTTACTGCTGGGTAAAAGGTTTTAAGCAAACGTGCAGACAAATGCCTCCGCAACTCCTGGGCATCCTCATCTCTCAGGGTCAGCGAGAGAATCGCTCTGCTGGCCACCTGGAAACAAGCCTAATGAGAATTTCCTGGCTGAGGCTGCCCAACTTTCTTGACAACCCTGTAACAGGACCCGGTGGGCTGGCCTGAAGGTAAGGCAAGGTTTAGTGTCACTGGTTCCAGAGGTGTTGCCTAAAAGCCAGGAAAATGGTGGCAGAAGGTTGTGTGAGGGCAGGCAAGTTTGAGAGCTTGTTTTTCTGAGGAAGGGGAGAGAGAGGGAGGGAGAGGAAGAGAGGAAGGGGAGGTGAGAGAGAGACAGAGAAACAGAGAAACAGAGAGACAGAGACAGAGACAGAGACAGAGACAGAGACAGAGAGGAGAGAGAGGGGCACACAGAGAGAGAGAAAGAGAGAGGTGGAGAGAGAGAGAGAGAGAGAGAGAGAGAGAGAGAGAGAGAGACAGAGACAGAGAGAGACAGAGAGAGACAGAGAGAGACAGAGAGAGACAGAGAGAGAACTTGTCAGTAGTTCTGTTTGGGCTGAGCTGGCCTAGCCAGACCCCTAGCTTTAAAGCCCTCTCTAGCTCCCGCCATTTGGAAAATCACTTTTGTGTTTAAGTACCAGGGATCAAACTCAGGACCTTGTGCTTGCCAGGCCGGCTCCTGCCATTTGGGACTGTCCTGTTCAGTTTTACTTAAATCTGTCTCATGGCAATCGAACCTTGATGTCAGAAAGCACACCAGGAAGAGTGAATTTATGCTGACTAAAAATCTCTTCAGAATCAGATGAATCTCTAAGAAAAATCCTAGCTGGGCAATGCCTATTTTTAAACGTGATTTTCCTGCCATTTCACCTACAGTGTCAGTGTGGCTTGCTTGGGGTCTGAGATGACCTGAGACCTTTGGAAGACTCCTCAATCCCCACCCACTTAAATCCCTCGCTTGCCCCCCCCCTTTTTTTTCTTGGTGATATTGGGACTGATCCCAGTGCCTTCACACTGAGCTACATCCCAAGCCATTTAAAAAATATTTTATTTTGAGACATGGGCTTGCTGAATCACTAAGTTACCCAGACTGTCTTGAACTTGTGATCCTCCTGCCTCAGCCTCCCAGAGTGCTGAGGTTATAGGCATGTGCCTCCACACCCAGGTTGGTCTCTCTTCCTTGCAGAAATAAAACCACACCCACACATCAGCCAATGACAAGAAGCTGTCTTTATTGGGTGATTTTTTTTAAGGCATTGCCTGCAGGGGGCCTTACAGGGGTCATCGGGCATACCCACCACCAAAAACACCGTGGAGTGTGTCTTATTTCCTCACTCAAGCAATGTGCAAATTTCAGAATTGTTTTGGGGGAAGTTAATAAATTAATTTGTGGTAGGATGTGGGGCTTCCCATTCCCAGGGTTTTGTAGGCCTTCCAGCTGAGTGTCCCTTCCTCTCTTTTCTCCATAGACTGGGGCTTTTAAGAATGCACCATTTCCTGGAATTCTAGAACAGAAGGAGTGAGAACAGGGTCAGTGGGGGTGGCACTTTCCAGATGTGTTGTCCCCGTAAGAGCTCTGAACAGGGACGACACTGCCAAAGCACATCCTTACATGACAAGCACTCTTTCCTTGAAGGCAAAAAGGAAGAGAATTGTGGGAAGCACATCTCTACAGCATCCCATCCCTACATAATCTTCTTTAACAAATGTCTTCCTCTTTAGAACTCACCAACCCGATCATTTCTCTACCAATGAAGGGATTCTGGGTAACTGTGTATTGCAATCTGTGAGCATCTACCTTTTGGCCTAATCAATTTAAGACAAAAATGGGAGGTCTTCTTCCTCTATTCTGTAACAGTATATTGCAAGAGAAGTACTAGGGTGGCTCTTTGAAACAAACTTTTCTCTATTGCTTCCTAAACTTATCCCTGGAAATTTGTATTACTAAAAGAAAGATGTGGTAATAATAAGATCTTAGTGCTGCAGGTTGAAATTGAAAACTGGGATTTGCTTTATATCTGTTGTTCTTTTCTTTTTTTCTTTGTCGTGGTGCTGAGAATTGAACCCAGGGCCTTGCACATGGTAGGCAAGTGCTCTAGCCCTGAGCCACTTCTGGTTATATATCAATAAATCAATCCTCTCATGCTGGAACTAGTTTTCTGAGCTATCTAAGAAGCTGCATTAGGTCTTGGTGTAGTAAGCTATCCTGACACATTTTGAAGGGTCTAAGGTAACACTTTTAAATTTCAAATTAGTGCCACCAACAGGATCATCGTAGGTTCTCGTGAGTTGGCACAAAATCCCTAAAAAGCATATCAGGAACATGGCAAAATCTAGTAACATCAACTGCGCTGGTGACGTCAGTCCAGGGCTTCGCCCTTGGGAGAGTCTGTAAGTGCTGCCTGCTGCCTGCAAGTCAACAGACCCTTTGGTGAGAGACACAATGCAGAATGCAAGTCTGTCCCTTCCCTGGAGCGCTCACTGGTGGAAGACCCTGTACTGCTTTCAAGGTACCTCAGAGCATCTTGCAGGTAACTGGCCAGGTGATTAGCTAGCATCCTCATCAGGGGAAGGATTTCTTCTAGTTCACAGACAATGACCAGAGGACTAGCTGCCATTATACGCCCCAGACATCATGCCAGAGTTCTGCTGCTATTGTTCGCAGTTCTGTTGGCAGTGGGATATGCTTGCTCTCCCACTGAGCTATAGCCCAGCAACGTCAGAAGTCTTATTCTCAATGTTGGCAGCCTCTCTTTGAGTCCCATTTTACAGATGAGAAGACTGAGGCTCGGCAAGGTTAAGAAAGGAGGGGGTTAACCCTCATCTGCCTACAGCCATGGCCCAAGCCCCCATGGATGCTCCCTGAGCTAACGTGTTTTAAACTGTATAATTGTGGACATACCATCAGCCCCAATTTTTCCGTCTCCATCATTATCTGCAGCGGCCATCAAAGATTTGGTTTCTGACTCGGTGAGCTCTCTAGCACCACTCTCAAATTTCTGCAGGAAAAACCTACAGGATATAAAGATTGGTGGGAATTTTCTAAAAGACCATGCCTGTCTGTGTTTTCCTTTTCCTTCTTTCTTTCTTTCCTTCCTTCCTTCCTTCCTTCCTTCCTTCCTTCCTTCCTTCTTTCCTTTTGTCCTTCCTTCCTTCTCTTTAAGCCCACCTCCTCTTTCTAGTTGTCATAATAATCAGTCAATGTCTTAGCCAGCAAGGATTTCCTGTGCTGTGGAAACTAGTGGCGGACATTTATTAAGAGTCTCAAAAGAGTTTTGTGGAGTCCACCTGCCACAGGAAATCTCTTTAGCTAAGGACTCTGCGCCTAGGTCTTCAGCCCTGAGGTCCGTGCTTTGTATGGGAAGAAATGAGGTCCACTGACGCTGTTCTCTACTTCCACAAGGTCGGCTAAAGGCTGCCACTGAATAACCCCAAGCAAACTGGGCCCCTGCAACCCCAGAAGCCTAGCAGTGTTGGGGTGCCTGGGACAAAGCTTACTTAAGCTCTTCTTCATCCAGGTAGCCGCTCTGGTCATTGTCTATGAACCGGAAAACATCCTTCACCTGACTGGCTGACATCTTGGAGAGGCCTGATGTCTGGAAGAATTTTTGGGGCTCAAAAGTATCTGGATCTGAGGAACAGAGAATGGGTTGGTTATTCTGAGGTTCCTTGGGACAGGTTCTATATTTCCATATTTCAGCCATGGGGCTGAAAACAAAGATTAGTAAAATGACTTTCACAGAATCTTTGAGCTACAGGGATGTGTGACTGGCCCAAGGCTTAAGGATGGCCAAGATGGATGACTCCATATGCCATCTCTTGCCGTTGTTTCCCCAGCTGCCTCTTTCCACTTGATTTTTCCCAGCTCTCCTTCTCTCTCCTCTGTCTCTCTCTTCTCCACAGCAGGCCATGTATCTAAGTCCTCAACATTGTTGATCTAGTTGGTGAAGGAGATGCAGTCATTGAATTCAGACAGGCTTCATCTACTCTACTCCCACTTTTCCTCACTTTCTTCCATCTTACAATAACGTGCTCACACGCTAGATCCCATACTCCCATCACTGCAACTCTCTAATTCTGAGCAGTTTCATCCTCTGATTCTGTGGATCATTCTGCAAAGTCCACACGCTTGTTTCCATTGCTTCACTGGAGGTGGGGACATGGGAGGACACCCCTCACCTGTCCCATGTGCCCTTTACCTTGGCATTCCTGCAGGGCAGCTGCAATGTCATCAGCACTAAGCACGTCTGTGATGCTCATCTTTTACCTAGTCACACAGAATGGATGAGATGTGATGGATGGAAAACAGGAACACACACATACATCCGGGGCATATGCTGTGCATGCTCCCCCAAACCAAAGAACTTGTCTACAATTTCTCTCTCTCTCTCTCTCTCTCTCTCTCTCTCTCTCTCTCTCTCTCCCTCCCTCCCTCCCTCCCTCCATTCCACCCTCTTCCTCTCCCTCTGCGTCTTCCTCTCCCTCTTCCTCTCCCTCTTCTTCTCTTTCTCTCTCTCCCTCCCTCCCTCCCTTCCTTTATTGCTGCGCTAGAGATTGAACCCAGGAACTTATCCAAGCCAGCAAGTACACTCCCACCAAGCCTCATCACAGCCCCATCTAGAATTTTTAAAACACAATAAGCACTTGAGTATGAAGTGAAGGGACAGACTAGCCAAACCAAAACCATACAAAAGAAAAATCCCAGCATTCTCAGCTCACTGCGTTCTCCAGAATAGATTCCAAAGATGACATTTTTAAACATGATCCAAAGCACTACTTGATTCAGTTTTCATATAAAAATTAGGTGCCCATAACCAATCACTTACACAGGCAGCTGCAAAACACTCAAAACTAAACCATGTTGCAAATGCAATAGGATTCTTGTGCATCAGCTAGAAAATGTTGCAGATTCCATGTGGGAGAGCCATGCTCCATCTTGAAGGGTGAAGCTCGATGAGGGAAAAGCCAGCAGAGATGAAAGTCCTCCCAGGTATCAAAGCCATAAGAAGAGAGAAATCTGAGTGCAACTTGCACAGCCCTCATCTGAACGCTTGGAGGGAAGAAGAACTTGGGGTCTGGCAAAGCCCATCAGCTACTTACCCGTTTAGATTTCTCCCCCAGGAAGAGTCAGGGGAAAAAATGGAGTTGAAGGAGCCAAACACAGATGTGCTTTTGCTACCTTACTGACCTACCTTATATAGGATTGAAAAAGTGATAGTTACGACCTCTTAGATTTCCTTTTCAGGGATCAAGTGAATGTAGATCGGATGTCTTACCTTACTAATTAAACTTTTTTTTTCTATTTATAGCTCAAGGGACTGTGGGTAGGAACAGCCAATTTTCAGAAACAAACCTCAACAAACGTTAACTAAGGTTTCAGTTCTGCAAATGAGCCCTGCTGGCGAAGAGCGGAGAAGATACTGGAGCCTAGAGGGGAAGAGGAGGAGGAAGAGGAGGAGGGGACCAGCACACATGGGTGCACACATGGCTCTGTACACTGAAAGGGCTCTCCAGATGTCAGTGGCTGTCACTGAGGCACGTCTGTTTTCAGCTGCAGAAACTGTGGGTGTGCAAAGCTGACCTCGATCCAGGGTTGAGGAGCTCAAAACCGATGGCCTGCAGTGGACACATAGGACTTGTCCAGCAAAGGAGGTGGCTCAGGCTAGGTGACTTTCCTACAGATGTCTTGACTTTGACATTTCTCAGCTAAATCTGCACACACTCAAAAGACACAAAGGGGGCAAAGGTAGCTCAGTGATAGTGTGTGCAAGGCTCTGGATTTGATCCTCAGCACCAATAAGAAGGAAAATGGGAGAAAATTAAGTATTCCTAAACCCTAAACTAATATTTGTAGAAAAGCTTTTTATCTTCAACAAGCATTTATTGAATCCCTATGTGGCTAGAACTATGCTAGATCTTTATTTCTCTTCCTTCCTTCCTTCCTTCCTTCCTTCCTTCCTTCCTTCCTTCCTTCCTTCTTTCTTAATGCAGCCTAGGGTCTCAAGCATGGTGAGTGAAGACTGTACTGCTAAGCTACTTCCCTAGGTGGATGCTTCTCTCTCTCTCTCTCTCTCTCTCTCTCTCTCTCACACACACACACACACACACACACACACACACACACACTTACACATTGCCAGGTATGGTGGTAGATGCCTATAATCCCAGCACTCCAAGAGGCTGAGGCAAGAAGATTGCAAGATCAAGCAACTTAATGGCTTAGCAAGACCCTATCTCAAAATAAAAAGTAAAAAGGGCTGGGGATGTCATCAGTAGGAATGCCTGTGTTCAATCCTAAGTACCACAAATGAACAAAACAGAACCTTCCCACATAAAATAAAGTGTACCATATTAGCCATTTAAGTGGCCATATAGTTCAGTAAGGTCAGTGATAGACTGTTACTGTGTAACAAAACTCTACAAAATTGAAACTAGAGGCCCACTGAACTTCTCACTCAGCTCCTGTCAGCCACCGCTCCACTTCCTAAGAGTTGGACAGCTCTGGGTCCCTTATGCAGTCTTTCTCTTTTTGTACATAGCTTGTTTCCCTTAACGTAATATTCCCAAGTGCCATTCATGTTGTAGCCTGTGATAGAATCTCTCTCTCTCTCTCTCTCTCTCTCTCTCTCTCTCTCTCTCTCTCTCGTATTTGGTTGTTGCAGGGCCTTACTATGCAGCTCGGACTCCTGGTGATCCTCCTGCTTTCAACCTCCCCAGCACTGGGATTACAGGTGTGCACCACTATGCAGGACTCTGGCCAGCTCAGCTCACCCTCGGGGCAGGGCTGGCATGGCATGTGACGCTGGGGATTGAACCACAGTCCCTGCACTTGCCTAAGCTTGCCTAAGCAGGACCTTTAGTCCACTGAGTTATCATGCCAGCCCCAAATTTCCTTCTTTTCAGAGGCTGGATTCCAGTTTGTTAATTTTCTTAAGTGCAAGTGTAGGTCCCATCTTACAATCAGGAACAAGTGGTAGCTTAGAGTCAGGAACTCTAGAGAGGGGCCTCAGCCTTTCCTGGGCTGCTACCACTGGGAAGCCCATTTTCAGGTACCCCAAAATATATTTCTCACCTCCCTCCCAGCACTGTGTGTGTCTTGGTGCCACCAAAGAACAGTTACCTCAGGATACCTTAAGCATCTTATAGACTACCAAACCCCAAGCTCTCACCATATCCACTTTGCTCACATTTTATTTTCTAATGGAAGGCATAATCAAAATATATGGTGAATGTTTAAATTTTTTAAAAAATTATTACAATAAAAGACACACTGCCTGTAAGCCCCTTACAATTATTCCCCCTTGCCTTCAACACAATTATCCTGTCATTCCCACCGCTTTCTGCAGCAGTTCTGGAAGTCCTACTTCCTGAGAGTGTTTACAAGTTGTGATTTTTAAAAAATGCAGTGAATGCTGCTGCTGGGTGCCACCCAACAGAAGGGCAAACCTGAAGAACGTGCCAGGTCATCTGTGTGATTACCTGTTCTGGCACTGTGAAATGCCTGACCCCAAAGTCAAAGTGACGATGGAAGGGAAACATTTTGAATCAGCTTAGGACATCGAGGCAGCCCCAATAGCACAACATGAAAGACCCTCTCCCTTACCCCCAGAAACTTTCAGAACTGCAGAACTGGTTCAGGTAGTGGCAAGAATGATAAGTATGTCCCAAGCCTGAGGGAGTATTTTAAGGTGGATGGATGGCAATGTGTCCTTTACTGTAACAACTTTTTAAATTTTAAGCATTCATAGTTTATATTTTGAGCATCTCATGTGTCTAGCACAGGTCTGACCTGTGTTGGATGCTTAGTAATTCTTTGATAAAAGAAAAGATTAAAACAGTAAAAAGAACTTAAAAACACTAGTCTCATTCCAGCACTAGTCTATCCAGCTCTTTAAGTCTCCTAAAAAGAAGTCTCAAGGGTTTTGAACTAGATTTCCAACAAAGTTGCCATAGAAACCAGCCAAATACTTTCTTTCCATGGAAGTGTTTCCAACTGTCCACAGAGATAGAAATATCAAAGAAAGCTGCCCATTTAAATGAAAATATCACATGGGTTAAAGCAGACACTTTAGGTGTTCATACTGTTTTTGTTTTTGTTTTTTTCTGGTAGAAAATAGCGGTGACAGAGATCTAGCAAACACTCTTGGTCATGGGCATAATTGGTTAGGACAATGTATTTGGCTTTCTCTAGGGAGAATTATAGACAAAACTTAGGCACACTGAGCCGGGCATGATGGTACACATCTGTAATCCCAGAACTCTGGGAGGCCAAGGAGAGATGACCACAAGGCTGGACAACTTAGCAAGATGCTTTCTCAAAGTAAAAATATTTTAAAAAGGATTGGGAGGACCAGCCTGATATCTCAGTGGACTAAAGCGCCTGCTTATGCAGAGTGCAGCGGCCATGGTTTGATCCCCCAGCATGCTGTGCCGGCCCTGCCCTTGGGGCGCGCAGAGGTGGTGATTGAGACTGGGTGTGGGGGTGCATGCTTGTAATCCCAGCGCTTGGGAGGCTGAAAACAGGCACGTCACTATGAGTCCGATCTACATAGTGAGACC